GCTCTTCCTCTTTCAACAGAGGAAGGAAAGTGAGACGGAAAATACAAAGTATTTTGATCAAAGCTTCTGCAGGACTTAAGACTGCAACCAACATCGGAGCTCCAGCTTGCTCTCTGCCATGCTGGGCCGCAACCAGTCTGGAAGACAACAGATATTTTGGTGATGTTCATTCTATGTGCTCAGTTTGGGTTTTGGCTGCTAAATAGTTGATGTCCTATGAATGCAAACAAAGTAAGCTTGGAGTATCATTACTCAGGGGAACAAGGATGATGCTTCATCGCAGCACTATGCTGCAAGATTAATGTGTAACAGTCGATCACAATAAATACACCGTAACAGCAATAACAGATTCTGCACCAGTAATATGCCTACAACAGAGACGAAGGAAGAAACCCCTAGCAAGGCTGCATTTTGTGCAGTACTTCCTGAGTGAGTTTAAGGAAAAAGCAAAACCAGCACAGATACGTAGGGCTGAGCTCAATGGCACCGAGATCCATGGGAGCAATTGCTGCTTTAACACATTCACGCCGTAATGGCACATTTCTGACACAAGAGGTACGGCAACATTTGGTGCTTGTTAATCCCATAGCATGAGGTGCTAGAGATCATCTGTGCCCTCCTTTAACATAAAGCATAGATAAAGCATGCTCCCAAGTTAGGTGCTGGGGGTTTTGGTGCACGGAGAGAGAGAGTCTGGACCTCCCAGCTGCAGCTGGCCGTTTCCAGATGACTCTGGACTGAAAACGAGGTGGTTCCTCAGCAAAGAGCAGCTGTGGAAAGATCTAGACATCCTCTGAGGACTGCAGAGGTGTCTGCCACTATGAATCACTGCCTGTGTTAAGTCACTGCTTCATCATTTGTACTGAGGTATATACATACACTCTGAATAAAATGGGTCAAATTCAGTGCTGGCAGAAATAGGCAGAGCTTCTCTGACGTCAGCCCAGCTTGGGGCATACAAAACAGTAGCTGACAATCTCCTCTTTAAAAAAAGCACGATTTTGACCTGGGTTGCACAGGCACACAAGGGAGAAAGGAGGAAGAAGAATCTGTCTCACCTGTCCTGTATGGGCTGCCCAGATCTCTACTCTGGCACAGGTTCAGAAATCACTTACTACTTTGTTAAGTTTGGCTCTAGTGCCCTAAAAGCACGTCAGTTCACCTGCTTATAGCCAAGGAAGGAGACTTACTAATAATGACTGCTGATAGTGGGTATGAGCAAACTAGTATTCCTCAATCAACTAGGGGGATAAGGGTCTTGGTCCAAGGGCTCTGGGATGCTACAGCTGTACAAACATGGCAGGAATTACACAGATGCAGAAGAGTACAGCTGCCAGGCAGCACTGCCAAAATGTGATCTAGACCAAGTACCACAAAGCAAGAAACAACAACTTAGAGCCATTACCACTGGCCCACTGCCTTCTTATACCCCAAAAAGGAACCATCGTGGGAGAGTTACAGCCCCAATTTATGCGACATAGCAAAGGAAACTATATGGCAAAATTTGACATAGATCATTGCTGGTGCCACCATTGTCATATGCTATTAAAATGGATAATGATCAAACTGGGGAGTTTAATAAAACAAGAGCAAGGGACAGAGGATGCTTCAGAAGCGAAAGTGTAGCAACATCTCAAAAAGCCAGAGAGATGAAGGAGTTAAGGAAAAGGACATTTAACATGTACAGACAAAAAGCAGTGAAGAGACAGATCAAAAATGATCGGGAACTACAAGTACAGAATAGGAGAACACAGCATCACTTTTAACACTGGGGAAAGCCACCTGGGAAGATGGTACAGCACACAGACCAAGCAGCAACATTTCAACATGGAAACTGAAAAATAAAAAACCCCCCACCTCCAATTCCATCAAGAATCAACCCTAAGCCACCACAGCACTGGATTTGCTCCAAAATCCTCTTTCATACCATTAACTGCATAACTTTGACTCCAACAGGAGCAGAAGGTCTCTGCTCTGTATTACACTATGTACAGGGATGCTGCTCTGTCACAGACACCATCCAGAATCACACACATTAAAGGATGCAAGATAAAAAAGGAGGAACGGAATAGGCACCCAGGCTTGACTCACTTAAGGCTTCTTAACTTTGTGCTGCAACAAATACACTGTCAAGCTATGAAGAGGTGGGAAAGGGGTGGGAAGAAGCTTGAAAAATAAGGTTGATGAGGAATGGTTAAGTCAGCTAAATATATAGGGTCACTTTTTAGAGTTGTGAAACTGTGCCTGCAAAGCAAAGGAAGGCAGCGAAACCGCAAACAGAGCTGGAAACCTCCCCAGCTGCACAGTCAGTTCATGGCCCTTTTGCCAAGAAGTCTTTGCGATCTTTCCAATCGCATAGGAGGCTGACATCGGCCCGATGGTGGGATGTCCCTCCAAGGCCACCTTGGTTTGTTGCCAGATTCTGCCGCCTGCCAGCACTCACACAGGTCACCCTTTCTCCAAGACCTCACACCGCAGAATAGGTGCTTTTTCATCAAAGGGGCAGCGAAGACTGACAGGAGGAGCAGACGACCACGGGGGCCAATGCTCTTCTCCCCCTCCTCTCCATGAGGACAGTCTCAGGATGGTAAGACATCACCAACCCGGGTGCTAGCTGGGTCAAGTGAACTTCAAGTTCCCCCAGAGGTGGTACAGTGACAACAGCAGAACTGGCCAGCATCCTTCAAGGGTGACAACCTCTCTCAAAAGGTGGAGGCCATTCCGGATTCCCTATTTAGTAATCTGTGGGGCTGGGCAGGCTCCTTGGCACCACCACCGCTGTATACATGCTCCCAGTCCTGGAACTGAGAAGTAATATGCTTGAATTAATAACGTATGTTAATCACAGTTCACATGCTCAACAGCAGATCCACCCCTCTAATTCAGGAGTTCAGTCACACAGCCTGTGAAGTCCTTAGCTGGGCCCTCCCTAAGCTGGGCCCTTTCCTTGAATCAAGGAAACAATTGCCTTTATAAGCAAAAGAAAAGTTAGAAACAGGTGAAATCTTTTTGACTTTATATTTGTAGCAAAGTTGTGACCACATTTTTAAACTTACAATGCAATACAATTTTCTCCAAGTCCTCTTTAATTCCTCACAGATATTGCTTTCACAACAGTTATCTTCAAGATCATTACAGTGTTGCTACTGCACATAATTAACTTTATTGTGGCTTTATATGGGGGATGCCATTGTAATATTAATTATTTGCAAACGGTCACTGTCAAATGCTGCATGGTGACCATGACACTCTATCATCCTCCAAAATACTCAAACCTCTGAAAGGAGTCAAAGATAATCTTCTTCATTTAAAATGGGTCCTTGCAGTACAGCAAATTATTTTTCCCAAACTCACATTATGAAAACATAATGCAGCACTTCTACAGCAACGGTTCAAATGCAAGGGTTTTTTTTCTCATTTTCACTCAGACTGGCTAAGATAGGGTCTGTGCAGATCTTTAATAAATTACTTGTGGCTTGAATGAATTTGGGAAAACGGATGATTCAAAGGCAAAGTGTTTCCATCGTAACTGGTAGACACAGCAGCTCTCATTACATAGCTTTTTAATTATTTGTTCTTTGGGAGGGGATTATTGCTAGTCAGTAGCAGACAATTTAGGAAAAAAAAAAAGCAATGCTCTGTAAATGCTACAAAAGAAAAGTAACAGCATCCTAATCATGTTCTAAGTTCTACGTGCCAACATA